CCAGCGGCCCGGCCTGGGTCTCCGACTACCGGTCCTGGGACGTGCCTCGCTCGCAGCCCCGCCTCCCGTCGCTCTGACCGCCCAATCCTAGGATGCGTCCAGCCTCAACCCGCCTCCTGGGCGTTTGGCCCCGCCCTCTAAGCGCTGGCTGACCAATCCTGGTACGGGCTCCACCTCCAAGCGTTCTAACTGTGCAGTCCCTAGAGGAGCGACCCCGCCTCCTGAGCCTCAGTGGCCAGAGGTCCCGACTGTCCCTGGTGTTTCCCAGGCCTCGTCCCCTACAAGGTAGCCTGAGACTGGACTGCGTGACTGCACACCCTGGGCCGCCCAGCCCTGCCTGTCATGAGGCTCCGACGCCCCAGCTGGGACAGAGTGGTGCCATCCCACAATCCTAGACCCCACCTACCTTGAGGACCCTCACAATCCAGATCGCATTCCCCTAAAGCTCTTGGCTCCTAAGGAGCACTCAGCCCAGGGAGACTCAGGTGAAGAGGAAGCCCTGAGTTAGCCACACAGGTGGCGGGCAGAGGCCTTTGCAGTCTCAATTTTGAGATGAGCAGTGTTGGTGGAATTTGTCGCTTCCAGCCTTATAGGTTGATGTGATGATTAAATGAGTTAAACTACAGCAAAGGCCTTAAGACAGTGCCGGCACTTAGCATTCCAGGTATTACCCGTTAGGATGATGTTTGTTCTGTATTACAAGCAGTTCTGTGACAAAATCCTTGTTCTGCCCAGTTTTTATTTGCACGCGTTTGCATGTTTCTCCTGGGGAGGTGAGATTCTGAGGGTCAAGAAACAACCTGCCTCCTGCTGAAATTGTACCCACCTCTTCTTAGGGTGGCAGGCTGGTTTATGTGCCCGAGAGCAGGGCAGGAAATGCTGGGTGCTTAAAAAATCTCAAGCCAGTGTTCCACTATTGGAATTTCTGATTCAGTTAGTCTGATGGAGCTGCAGACCCTGTGTTTTTTTATGCAAAGCTTCCAAGGAGACTTGATGAGCAGCTGGAGAACCACTGGCCAGAGGGAGCCCTAAGCTGAAAGTGGTATTTGGGGAAACTTGGTTTGGCTGAGCAGGAGCTGTGTGTGCAGGACTAGGGCAGAGGCACTGAGACAACCCAGGCAGTGTGTGGCAAAAACTTGGCCCAGGGCCCTTGGGTAGTTGGGAAAATACACTAACCTGGGTGAAGGATATCCTATAGGGAATAGCCATGACCAGAAGTAGGAGGTCAAATTATTTCAGTTGTTCAATTATTTATAACCTATCTTGTACCTGGAAGGATTTCAGTTCAAGGGATGTGAAACATGAACACAAAAGCAGAAGTTAAAATCAGGGTGAAAAGAGAAAGAAAAATGAGTGGCACAGTGAGGCCATGATCAGTGCTGTTGGATTGAAGCATTAAGTCACAGGGGACATGACAAGGGCAGTTTGTGGCATGATGAGATAGAAATCTGACCAGAGGGGTTCAAGAGGCATGAAGGGGGAATGGTGAATAGAATTTGCCTTAGTGCTTTCTAGCAGCTAGTGGGAAAAGGGAAACAATGGTCAGAGTGGAATTTTCAGTGTTTCTTCATTTGTTTAAGGAACATTTAATGAGCACCTACTATGTTCCAGGTGCTCATTAAATGCCAGGGTACAGCAATGAACAAAACAAAGATAACTGCCTCATGGAGTTGACATAAAGGGCAGAGGGTAGAGGCTTTTCTAGTGTGCAAAGGCTTGTCTACTGCAGATAAGAAACAATAAATTATGTAGCATGTGAGAGATTGATAGAAGCTATGGAAAAAACAAAAGTGAAATAAGGGAAGAGGAATCAGGAGTGTGAGCTTGAAGTTTAAATAGGGTATTAGGGTGGAGCCACCTTGAGAAAATAGCATTTAAGTATACAGCTGAAGGAGGCCAGGGCGAGCCGTGCGGATATTCAGGGGAAGAGTGTTGGAAGAAGAAGGAATAGAAAGTGCAAAGGCCCTATCTGGTGCCCTGATATGTACATGGTACAGTGAGGGGAACGTGTAGCTGCAGCACAATGAGGAGTGGGAGAAGATGAAGGCAGGGAGGTGCAAGGAGGACTGATTTTTTTCTTCTAGTGAAAAAAATCTAGTGGGAGCTCCGGTGGGATTTATTTTTGCCTTTGTTAAGTGCAGAATTTGAGTTCCCTTTATAAGTGCAGAGAAGTCATGTATCTGGTTTAGATGTTTAAAGAAGCACTCCTCAGGGTGTGTGTGGTGGGAGGAATGGGTGGGGTATGAGTTGAAAGAAGGTTGGCCAAGAGTTGACAGTTATTAAAGCTGGTGATGGGTTCAAGGAAGTTCACTCTCCTCTTCTCTCTAGCTTTGTATGTGTTTGCATTTTTCTTTTCACATCTTAAACTCCTACCAAGAAAATCAAAAGAATCATCCTGACTCCTGTGTTGAGACTGTGGGAGGGGAGGGCAGGAGGAAGAAGATGACTCCACTGGTCCAGGTGAGCCAAGATGGGGCTGGCCCCGAGCAGGGTCATAGGGAAATGGAGAGAAGTGGTTGAACTTGGGACCAGCAATGTTCTCTGATGGGTGTGGATATGAAAGATGCCCCAGGTTTGAGCCTGAGCACCTGGAAAGTTGCAGTTGCTGTTAACTGAGAAGGGCTTTGTTGGGGGACAAAATGACAGCTTGCACGTGAGACTCCTACATGGGGTGTCAGGAAGGCGGTGGAGGTGCTGTTGTGGTGGGGAGAGAGCCCATCAGGAGATGCAAATGTGGGAGTCACCAGGGTGGTGATGGTATGGTGATGGATGCACATGGACCGAGCACACAGGTCTGAGCCCACTGCCCACTGCTTCCAGAAGTCAGGGAGATGAGGAAGAAGCAGCAGCCTGGGAGGCAGGTGTGGGAACAGGTGGGGTGGTGTCCTGGAGGCTAAGGGTCCAATACTGGGGGGGGCCGAATGAGGCGCCATCCCTGGTGGCTGTAACGGTGCCGTTTGTGGCATCATGGAGAAAAACTCTGACCAAGGGCTCAAGGAAGATGAAGGAGCAGACATGGAAACCAAGAGTGTAGACAACTCAGTCTAAGAGTGGTCAAGGAATGGGGCAGAAGTTGGTAGTGACGGGGCTCAAGGTCATTTTAACCCAAGATGTTAGAAATACCAGCTTGTTTGGATGCTGGCGGGAATATCAAGTCAAAAGTGAAATCTAAGGGCAGAGGAGAGCAAGGGACTGTTGTTGCTGGCCACCGTTTGGTTCTGGCCACTGAGAGGAAAGTACAGCCAGGCCCTGCAAAGCCTCAACAACTATTGTCCTCAAGTGCAGGTGGTGGCCACTGCAGGGAGTCACAAAGATGGTAGAACTTGGAGAAGCAGGCAGTGGGGGAACGTAGTTTGGGTTGAAGGAGAAAGCGCTGTGTTAAGGTCAGAATGTCGCCTGACTTCCTGTGATCCTCACAGCAACTCTGTGTGGGAGGCACTGCTGTTATCCCACTTCACAGATTAAGAAACTGAGGCTCAGAGGGGATGGCACTGCTTGGGATTACACAGCCAGTCAATAACAGAGATGAGACTTGAACTGGGATCTGACCAACGCCAAGCCTGTTCCCACCACAGACACTTGGCATTCTCAGCACCCCAGTCATGGCAAGGCCTTGAGTGATTGTAGGTGGCATGGTTGTTTGGACTTGGGTTTGGGGAAGGATCTGGCAGCCTGGCCCCTTAGAGGGGGTAGAGGCTTCTGGGATGGGACAGAGGGGAGCAGATCCCAGGGCAGAGGTCAGAGCCTGGGGCAGGAAGGACAAAGGAGCCCTGAGGAGCTGTCCTGGGACCAAACTTGAGGTGTCGGGGCTGAGAATTGTTATCAGGCTGGATAGGGGACTGAGGGGATGGGCAGTGGAGCTGAGGAGAGACCCTGGGTTTGCTGTCAGGATATTTGTGGGAAGAGCAGGGAGGTCAGTGTTCCAGGGCCTGGTCTGTGATAATATTAATAATCATAATGATCATTGCTACCATTTGCTGAATGATTACTAATTGCCAGAGCTGCACCAAGCTTTTTACAATGCATATAACCTCATACCAACCTCACGAGGAAGTTGCTGTTATGATTCCATGCTCCAGATGGGGAAACTGAGGCACGGGGCAGCAAGGTCACTCACCCAGGGTCACAAAGCTTACTGCTGCAGTTTAGAAGAACAAGGAAACAGCCAGGGTGAAGGGAGCAGACCTGGAAGCCTGGTGGCGGGAAGGCAGAGCAAAGCCCCTACCAGGTCTGAGAGAGATGGCGCCAATGGACCTGCCCTCAGGCTGGGTCGAGCCGGTGCTGGGCCATAGCCACGCGGCCCGAGTGGAGTCGGGAACCCACCCAGCAGATCTGATGGCCGTCCCGGTGTGGGAGGCCAGGAGAGCCTGGGCTGTGGCCCTGGCCCTGCCAAGGCATTAGGGGTGAGTTAATTAAATGTTTGACCAAATATAGCAGGCTAATTTTTAAGTTGATAATTTTGTATGGCCTGTGAATGATGTTATAAATATCCAAATGGCCTTTGGCAGATAAAAGGTTCCCCACTGCCGATCTAGAGGTTCAACTAGGGAAAGGGCTCCCAGACTCCCTCAGTGTTGGCAGAATCCACATGCTCGTGGTTGTAGGACGGGGTCCCTGCAGCCCTGCTGGCTGTCGGCAGGACTGCTCTCCGCTCCCAGAGGCCATTTGTTCTCAGGTCCTCATAGTCCCCCTCACATCCTCGGCCTCTGATTTTTGATATCAGCTGGGTCTTTGCAAGGGCTCTCTGATTAAAGCAGGCCCACCTCAGTAAGTTCCCTCTTGATTAATTCAGTCACCTAGCCATGGGAATGGTATCCCTTCATATTCACAGGCGTGCCCCACTGGTGGGGAGAGGGTTATACAGGGTGTGTGATCCTAGCGGGTGGGATCATGGGGCCATGAGAGGTCAGAACGAGGTACTGACTTTATACCCTCTTCTGACCTCTCCACTCCCTAGCCACGGGACCCTGGGCTTGTGGTCTCACCTCTCTGAGCCTCAGTTTCCCACTCTGTGAGGTAGGTGAGGATACTAGACTCCCCTCTAAGGGCTGTTGTCCATGTGGGAGAGAACCCAAGTGAAGGGCCATGAGAACAGACTCAGGAACCAGAAGCAGGATGCAGGATAGCTGTCATTATCTCACCATCAGTCAGGCACTGCGTCACTCCCCCTGCCTCTCTCTGTTACAGGAAGCCTTGGGAGCAGGTCCCCAAAAAGCCAAAGAGGAAGAAAAGTAAGTGGGGCTGCAGCCAGGGGGGAGGGGTGGGTGTTGGGAGTTCCTGGCTTTGTTGTTCCCTCCCTTCCTGCCTCCCTCTCTCCCTCATTCTCTGAGGCCATTTATGGAGAGGCTGCATGTGCCAGGCACTGTGTGGAACAGGGCAGACCCAGCCCTGCCCTCAAAGAGCCCACAGTCTCCTGGGAAAGACAAGGGACAGGCTGAGCAGGGCTGTGACGGAAGGGGGAGGTGGATTAGGGCACTGGGGCCCAGAGGAGGGGCCCCACCCAGCCCGGGATGGGACCCACCAAAGGAACCTGTGCTGTGCCCAGCAGGGGTGCCCTCATCATCTCTCATCATCCCCATCTTACACATATAGAATCCAGGAAGACCTAGTCACTGCCCCAGGCTGCACAGCTGGCAAGTGGCAGGGCCAGGCTGCAAGCTCAGGTCCTCATGTCTCCAAAGTAGTCCCCTTAGCTCCTCTGCTCTCCTGCTGGTGTGTGGGAGTCAGCCAGGGAAGAGCCAGGCAGAGCAGAGGGAACAGCTTGTGCCAGGGCCTAAAGGGCATATTGTGTGCCAGGCTCAAGGGGAGCTGGGCGTGGGCAGTCAGAGCAGAGGCCCGGAGCACGTCCCTCCTGCCCCTGAGCACTGGGGCTGTGGGTCTCGAGCCTGTCCAACAGGGCGAGAGCCAGCTGTCCAGGGACAGCCTTCTGGTGGCAGTGAGTCCCTCCCACTGTCAGTTCTCAGGGACCAGGTGAGCTAAGACTGTGACCCCAAATCCCAAAGGGGTGGGGATGAAGATAAGGAGGCAAGTGCTAAGCTAAGGAGGTGGCTTGCTGGTAGTGTCCTCATGGTTGTCACTGTGTTGGAGGCCCAAGGACCTTTCCTGGGCCCACTCCTCATCTAGCCTGGAAGGTCAGAGGCATACCTTCTTCCCACTTGCTTGAGGGACCAGGATCATCACACATATCGCTGGTACCAATTCTTAGGCACTCACAGCCCCTTTCTGTGCCCTGTCAAGGTCTTCACTCTCTAACCTCCTCCCTGTCAGCCTTCAGAAAATGGGGACCCTTATTCTCCCCTGACCAGAAGGGTCAACTGAGGTTCAGAGAAGCCAAGTCACTTGCCCGGAGCCCCCGGGAGTGGTAGAGACAGGATTTGAACCCTGGTGGTTTGGCTCCACTATCCCCCCGCCCCCCACACACACACACACAATATGCGCTCATCTAGCACCTACTATATGTAGGTGCTGAATATGCAGAAGGAACCACACAGAGAAGTGGCGCTGTCCTTAGGGAGCTGACATCTGGTGTGGGAGATGAGCAAGAAACATGAAAACAAATAAGCATAGATAGCATCTAAGTGCTACCTGGAGAGAAAGGAAGCAGGTCAGGTCCGCTAGAGGGACAGGGAAGAGAGGATGGCTGACCAAGGGAAGACCTGAGTGAAGGTGGAGGTGGCAGAGGACACAGCCAATGCAAGGGCTCTGAGGCTGGACCAGGGAGAAGGCCCTGAGGCTGAGGGGAATGAGCGAGAGGAAGCGTGTGAGGAGGTGAGGACACAGGCGACGGGGCAGAATGTGTAAACCTCTGGGAGGAGTGTGACTTTCCCCCCAGTGAGGTGGGTGCCATGGAAAATTCTGAGCAGAGGAGGGATGTGACCTGACTCAAGTGTTGACAGGCGTCCACTGGTGTCTCTGGAAGGAATAGACTGTAGGAGGCCAGGGTGGGCGCAGGGGCAGGCGGGGGACTGATCCTAACAATAAGAAGCAGCTAACAATGACTGCACCTTCTATGGCCACGCCCCACTGTTGATATGACTGTTCATCCAGTGAGGACAGTCTCTGTTATCTCCAGGTGTCTCATCTCTCTGAGCCTCAATTTCTTTTCTTTTTTTTTTTTTTAAAGAATGTTTTCAATTTTTTTTTTAATATATTTTATTGATTTTTTACAGAGAGGAAGGGAGAGAGATAGATAGTTAGAAACATCGATGGGAGAGAAACATCGATCAGCTGCCTCCTGCACATCTCCCACTGGGGATGTGCCCGCAACCCAGGTACATGCCCTTGACCGAAATCGAACCTGGGACCTTTCAGTCTGCAGGCCGACGCTCTATCCACTGAGCCAAACCGGTTTCGGCAGAGCCTCAATTTCTTTACCTATAAGCGGGACAGGCCTGGACAGGGTTCAGGACATTGTCTCAGCCCCCAAGAGCCAGAAGGCCCGGGTGGTTGTAGGGGCCACACTGCCCTGAGTGGCCCAGCCATACTCCTCATGCCTGACCCGGCCCTGTGTGCACAGGGCGTCGGCGCAACGTGAACTGCCTGAAGAATGTGGTGATCTGGTACGAGGACCACAAGCACCGCTGTCCGTATGAGCCGCACCTGGCCGAGCTGGACCCCACCTTCGGCCTCTACACCACAGCCGTGTGGCAGTGTGAAGCCGGCCACCGCTACTTTCAAGACCTGCACTCACCCCTGAAGCCACTCAGCGACTCAGACCCCGACAGTGACAAAGGTGGGTCCACAGAGTGAGGGCTTACGGTGGCCTCCGGTGCCTGGGGGTTTACAGCTTCTCGTGGGGAGAGTCGCCCTGGACTGCCTGCCCTCCTGGGTCTTGCTAGCCTTAGGCCAGTATCATAAACTTCTCAGCAACTAGATGGCACAGGTGCTGGCTTCAGGGACAGAGCGCAGCCTCAGTGCAGCCTGCAAGCTCTGAGTCCTTACAGATCCCGAGACACAGTTCCCGCTTTACAGAGACAGCTGAGGCACAGGGCAGTTTGCCCACCTGTGCCCAAGGCCAGGCTCAGGCAGGGCTGGACGTGGGGTCCAAGAAACCTGGCTCAGTAGCGGGAGGGAGGGATGGGTGCTGGGCCTCAGACTCCCCAGGGCGGCTCTTCTCTCCTGGCCTCTTCCTCCTCCTCTATTTTCTCCAGCCCTTTCTTGGGTTCAAGGTCTGTCTCTACCAGTCTCATCCTCTTTCCCTCTCTCCATCCTGCTCTCCTTCTCCTCACTTCCTGTTCTTTGCTCTCTGTCTCTCTCATCCTGTCCCTGTTTTGTCCTCTCTCTCTCTCTTGCTCTGTCTTCAGTCTCCTTCCTTTCCCTGCCTCCCCACATTGACTCTCTCTGTCTCCCCTCCATCTCACACCCTTTGCATCTCTCATTCTCTACCCTCTGTTGCCTTGCCTTTCCTATCTCTGTCCCTGCTCCTCTCCTGCCATTCCACGTTGGTCACACCCAGGGGCTGGCTGCCAGCTCAGGACTGGGAGGGACTCAGTTACAAAGGTCCAGTAAGACCTGGTGGAGGAGCAAGGATATGCTCTGGGTGGTGAGAAGGAGTGTGAGGCCCGTGGACAGGTGCCCTGCCAGGGCTGAGGGTGAGGTCAGTCACCAGGGCTGAGTCCGAGCTGGCAGGCATTTGGAGCAGATGGCATCCCAGCTGGTGAGGGGAAGCCGTGGGCGAGAGGTGTTCCAGGTGGGCACCCTGGCCAATGGCCATCCCGTTGTGTGTCAGTCAGGTTCCCAGTGTGAAGCTGCCCCTCAGCCACCCTGTCCTGTACTCAGCTCCAGGCTCACCCCAAAACTCCCCGAGTCCTCCCCACAGTCCTGTCATTAGACCCACTGAGCAGTCGAGGAAACTAGGGTTTTGGGAGTAACGTGACTGGCCCATCTGGTGATGGATCCAGCTTGGATGGGATGACACCCAGAGGAAGTCCCTTGCACCCCAACCTAACTTTTACACTAGCAGCTTCTGGGGCTGGGCCCTTGGGAATGAACACTGGGATCAGTTCCCGGTCTGCTGTGGCTGCTGGGGGCCGGCGAGAGAGTGCTATGCCCCAGGCCTGCCCTCTTCCCTCAAGCAGCACTCTTACCTGCTCTGCAGCCTGCCACCTCTCACTCAGTAAAAAGACCCCCCCACCCTCAAGGGACTGTGGGAAGCCAGGGGTGCACGGTCATTTCTGTTGTGAATGTTATTATCGTCTTGAGCAAGATCCAGTGTCAGCCTTAGCAGCCAGTGCTGCACTCAGGGACCCAGACACCCAGCTGTTCTCCCAACTCATTAGGTTATTGCCCCTCCTTCAGGGTGCAGCCAGGGCTCATCCCATGACAGGGTGCTAGAAGGAGGGGCTGATCCCCTACTGTTCCTGTTGCCATCCCAGGACCTGCCTCATGGACGGGGCAATTGGGTATTAAAGATAGTGGAAAACATTGGTAGGGTGCTTTCTCCAAGCCTGGTACTGTCCTGAGTCCTTTACATGTATTTACTCATTAAATACCCAGAGTACTCCCTGAGGTCGGTGCCAAGGTATCTCCAGGCCCAGATGGGTTGCATAAGGCACCTATGATCACACAGCTGGAAGAGCAAGCACTGAGACCCCTCCCCTGCTGCCGTCTGGCTCCAGAGCCTGCATGCTCCATGTGACCCTCTGGGGGTAGAGAATGGCTGGTTCCCAGACAGTGTGCCTCGACGGTCACGAGTGTGTAATCTAAGGGACAATCACTCATTTTTCCTGTCCCCAGCTTCTCCCTGTGTGGGTACATTAGCACCAAATGCTTGGGTAAGATGTTATCCCCTTGGCCTTCATCACAGCCTTGGGCTGAGAGTCATTCATTTTTGCAAATGTGTGCTCATTGTGTACCATATAGCCCAGCCGTGGGCAAACTACGGCCCGCAGGCCGGATCTGGCCCGTTTGAAATGAATAAAACTAAAAAAAAAAAAAGACCGTACCCTTTTATGTAATGATGTTTACTTTGAATTTATATTAGTTCACACAAACACTCCATCCATGCTTTTGTTCCGGCCCTCTGGTCCAGTTTAAGAACCCATTGTGGCCCTCGAGTCAAAAAGTTTGCCCACCCCTGATATAGCCTCTGGGCACTGGGGACTGTGCACAGGGACCCGTGTCCTTGTGGAGTTTACGTCTAGAGGGGAAGCAGACAGTAAACTAGGTAGACAAGTAAAATCCAGAGCATATGGGAAGTATTTGGGGGGGGGGGGGGAAATAGAGAGAAAAGGGTGCTATTTGAGACAAGGTGGTCAGAGGCCTCCCTGAAAAAAACGAAAAAAACACCATTGATGAAGGGTCTGATGAAGATAAGGAAGGGAGCCCATACAGGTGTCTGAGAGAACAGGGTTCAGGTAGGAAGTGGCAAGTGCAAAGGCCCTGAGGCAGAAAGCTGTCTAGTGTCTCAGAGCTCGGGAGGGAGGTCAGTGGGGCTGGAGAGGAGGTGCAAGCCCTGTTAGCTGCAGCAAGAGCTTTGGCTGCTATGCCAAGTGAATTGGGAAGGTTATTTTTTTTTTAATGATAAGCATTGTATGATAGTTTGACAGTTTTTTTTTATAATATATTTTTATTGACTTCAGAGAGGGAGAGAGAGATAGAAACATCAGTGATGAGTGAGAGGCATTAATTGGCTGCCTCCTGCATGCCCCCTACTGGGGATTGAGCCTGAAACCTGGGCATGTGCCCTTGACCAGAATCAAACCCGGGACCCTTCAGTCCGCAGGCAATGCTCTATCCACTGAGCCAAACTGGCTAGGACTGGGAAGGGTATTAACTGAAGTAAGGCCAGCTTCTGAAATATACAAACCTGCAAATTGCCTTCCATCCCAGGTCCCAGGTTCTTTCCGTCCTGTGGCTCCAGCCTCCACTGAGTTCTGGCTGGCTGGTGGAAACAGAGGTGGAAGTTCATGAACCACTCACATTTCATTGGGACTCAGCCATATGGCCACACCCATCTACAAGGGATACTAGGAAATGTAGTCCACTTGAGTGCCAGGAGGAAGAGACTCAGGTTTGGGGAACAGCTGGCCTCTCTCTTTCACAGAAAGTGACGAGCATGTTCTCAAAGAAGGATATGACCTAAGCAGGTGTTCACAGGCTCCCTCTGGCCACTGTAGGGAGGACAGAGTGTGGGGGATGAGGCTGGGAGCTGGGGGACCAGGGAGAAGGGACTGCATGGTTCAGGCAGGGGATGATGGGGCCATGACCAGGCGTGTGCAGGGGAGGTGGGAGAAGCTGTTGGCTTTTGGATGTATTTTGGATGCAGCACCAATAGGTTTTGCTGACAGATTGGAAGTAGGTGTGAGAAAGGGAGAAGTCAAGGATAGCCCCAGGACTTGGCCTGAGCAACTAGAACAGAGCTGCCCTCTCTGGGACGGGGACATCCATGAATGCTGCAGGCTTTTCCTGAGGCGGCTCAGAGCCCAGAGTTGCTGAGAGGAGTGTGAGATGCCTGTGAGATCCCCTCGGGGGTGGGTCAGCAGAGAAGGCAGTGGGACGGAATAGTCTGCAGCTCCATAGGAGGTCTGGATGGGAGCTGCTCACATGGCAGCACCAGGGTATAGGAAGTGGCAACACAATAAAAATAGATACTTGATCTTGGTTCTGGATTCCTGGCACAGAGCTCCTAAAACCCTTGGAATTCCCTGAGAGAGAGGAATGCTTTTCGTTATCATGAGTCCCGTTTTGGAAGGAGCCCCTTTGAAACACACCTGGGCTCTATGCTAATGAGGTGACTCAGGGAGGGACCCCTAGGGTCCCTCAGGAGGAGGGCTGGTCACCAAAAAGACCAAACACATGATTAGAAGAGCAGCATCTCAGCCCCACACCCCGTCCCCGGGGCTGTGGACAGGAGGTCGGATTATTAAAAACTCTTGAACAGTGTGGTTCAGAGAGTTTCCAGGTTGGTGAACGTGTGGAGGCATGGAGAGGGTGGCACACCTGGAGAGGGCATGGCAGCTCCGTGACCCCGCCCCTGTATCTTGCCCTGTGCATCTCTTCCATCCGGCAGTTGCTGAGTTTTGTCCTTTATAATAAAACTGTAATTGGAAGTGAAGCATTTTCTTGAGTCCTATGAGCCATTCTAGCAAATTATCAAACCTGAACATGGGGTCGTGGGAACTCCCGGTCAATAGCCAGGAGTGCAAGTGGCCTCCTTACAGGTGGCCTGGGGCTTGCAGCTGGCATCTGAAGTGGGGTCATTCTTCTGGGGCCTGACGCTAACTCCAAGTGGATAGTGTGAAAATTGTATTGAACTGTTGGACACCCGGCTGGTGTCAGAACCAGGGCAGGATTTAACACCATCAGCCCGACTGAAACCCTGGGGTGATCTGATCGGAGCACTCAGGAGAGGCCCCAGCTAGAACCTTCCAGACCTTTAAGAACAAAAGAGGCTGAGAAGGAGCCACCAGGGAGGAGTCAGGAGACTGGAGCGGGCCAGAGGCAAAGGGAGGAGAGCATCTTTGAGGAGCGGGGGTGATTGAGGAGGATGGGGACTGAGAAGTGACCACGGTTCGTGCCAGTGAGGAGTCGCAGCACCCAGCCCCTTGTGAGCCCTCAACCAACACCAGCTGCTGCTGCCACTATTGTAACCATCCCTTTCCTCTGTCACCACAGTGGACAACGGCCTGGGGGCCGGCAGCTCCAACTCGTCCAGCTCCTGCTCTGGCTCTGACTCTGAGGAGCCCCCTGGAGGCCAGCCAGCCAAGGCGACAGTAGCAGCTGCTGCTGTGACCCCCACCAGCCCAGCGGGCAGCAGTGGGCTCATCACGCAAGAGGGTGTGCACATCCCTTTCGACGTCCACCACGTGGAGAGCCTGGCTGAGCAGGGCACCGCACTGTGCCCCAACCCAGCAGGCAGCGGGCCGGAAGCCCTGGAGACCGTGGTGTGTGTGCCAGTGCCCATGCAAGTGGGCCCGGGCTCTGGCACCCTTTTTGAGAACATGCCCCAGGAGGCACTGGGCGAGGTGGTAGCCAGCTGTCCCATGCCAGGCATGGTGCCTGGCTCTCAGGTGATCATCATCGCAGGCCCAGGCTACGATGCCCTCACGGCTGAGGGCATCCACCTCAACGTGGCAGCAGGCAGCAGTGCGCCCAGCGGGGGCCTGGGTGACGAGGTGCCCTGCACCATGATGGAGGGTGTGGCAGCCTACACCCAGACGGAGCCTGAGGGCAGCCAGCCCAGCACTATGGACCCCACCACCATGGCAGGCATGGAGACCAAGAAAGGTCTGGGGGACCATGCTAGTCTGGGGGTGTTGGGAGTACCTGGGAGGGGGAGGGCGAGGAGGGGCCCCAGAGTGGGCTCCTCGAAAGCCTTAGTCCCCACGGACACCTGCCCTGTGTCACCCCGTAGAGAAGGAGGACCTGTACATGCTTAAGAAGGAGGAGAAGGAGGAGCCAGTGGCTCCAGAGCTGGCAGAGCTGGCAGCGACAGTGCCTGAGAGTGCAGAGCCTGAGGCAGAGGCAGACGGGGAGGAGCTGGACGGCAGTGACATGTCAGCCATCATCTATGAGATCCCCAAGGAGCCTGAGAAGTGGGTGTCAGGCGGGCGGGGCAGGGTGAGGACTGGCTGGGGTGGGAGCCCTAATGCCATGGGCCTTCCTCTCCAGGAGGCGGAGGAGCAAGCGGTCACGGGTGATGGACGCCGACGGCCTGCTCGAGATGTTCCACTGTCCCTACGAGGGCTGCAGCCAGGTGTATGTGGCTCTCAGTAGTTTCCAGGTGAGGCTCCCCCCCAAATGGCTGGGCAGGGTCTGCTTCTGTGTCCAGCAGCCTGTGGCTGGTAGAGGGCCCCACCAGCCCCCAGCAGGTGCCATAGGCCTGCCTCCCGTATGCCCACCCGCCTCCAGCATACCTGTCCTGCCTCACCAGCCACAGCCTCTCTCTGCACCCCCAGTGGCTGCCTGCTCCTGGCCTGGAGGCACCCCCCACACTCTTGCTCTTCCAGCTGCCCAAACTCCTACTACCTCTGCCCACACCACCCTCTTGGCTCAGGATGCCCTTCTACCAGGAGGCCCACCCTGGTCTCCCAGGGTGGTAGGGCCTGCAAGCCTCAGGTCACTGTACCATCAAGACGTATCTGCAGGTTGCCCACTGGGTCTGGGACACCCCAAGGGCAGAGACAGGGCCTTATCAAATCCCCACTCTGGGCAAAGGAGGTGTCACAAATTGGTCCTTGAATTTGCCAAATCATGTTTTCATTAAGCACATATTGAACACCTATCATTGCCAAGCCTGGTGCTGGGCACTGAAGCTACAGGTGTACTAGTGAGCTAAAGAACAAACGAAGACCCAGCCAGCGTGGCTCAGTGGTTGAACATCGACCTATGAACCAGGAGGTCACGGTTAGATTCCCGGTCAGGGCACATGCCCAGGTTGTGATCCCCAGTGTGGGGGGTGCAGGGATCAATGGTTCTCATCATTGATGTTTCGATCTGTATCTCTCTGTCTCTTCCTCTCTGAAATCAATAAAAACATATTTAAAAAAACGAAGGAATGATTGAGGGCTTTCTGCTCCAGGCCCTGGGAGTAGTATAGCACCGTGGCAAAAGAGCCTGCTGTGGACTGACAGCCCTAGAATCCAGTCCCAGCCCTGCCACTGCCCAGCTGTGAGACACCAGGCAAACTACTGAGCCTCTGGAGACTCGGTTTCCCCATCCGTAAACTGGGGTAATGGCAGGGCCCTTCGAGGGGTTATGACAAGATTCACTGATGCCCTAACCCAGAGCCTGGCTGGAGTAGGTGCTCAGTAAAACTGATCCCAGCGTCCCTGGGCCCCAACTCGGAGCTGGCAGTCCATCCTAAGGACAAGGGCGCCCCTCTTCCCTCCTCCAGTGAAGTTGCCCCAGCCTGCCTCCCAGCAGCCCTCACCTGTCCCTATAGCACCCACAGCACCACTCCTGCCCCTCTCGTCTCCAGAACCATGTCAACCTTGTGCATCGAAAAGGGAAGACCAAAGTGTGCCCTCACCCTGGCTGTGGCAAGAAGTTCTATTTATCCAACCACCTAAGGCGACACATGATCATCCACTCAGGTAAGGCCCTAGGGCACAGGGGCCTAGGCCTTGGAGCCAGAGCGGGTTCAGGCAGGGTCAAGCCTGGGCACAGGACTGCCTTTCTCAGTTTTCTGCCTGTCCCCTACATGGACTAGCTTGAGATGGTGGAAGTAAAGCACTTAACCTGGAGCCCACGGGCACCTCCCTGAGGCTGCACTGCTGGAACTGTCAAGAGAGCAGAGCGAGATTAAAGAGTGAGCTGCACAAGCCACAGTGACACGGACTGTCACAGCTCATGTGGAGCTGGGCCCATTGGCTGCCTGACTCCTGCAAGCAGATCTCATGTTGGAGCAGTTCCAGGGCTGAACCACCCTGCAGGGCATCAGACTAGGGACAGGGCCTCTGTTCCTTCTGCTCCAAACACCTCCTTGACCCAGAGTGTGGGCTGCGACACAGCGGCCAGCGCTGGTGCCTGTGCCCAGCAGGAGGGCGTGGATTTGGATTTTTTGAGACCAGAACTTCGGATCTTTATGTGAAATTGCTCCAAAGTCCAAATATTGAGGTTAAATTCAAACCCATCTTCACCCTGTCCTCCTCAGGAACCGGAGTTCACATTCCATCTCTGCCTGGGGCGTTCCTGGGCAACGGCCATGAGCCTCCCCTCTCTTAGTCCCTCTGGTTATTAGACTTGACATTCAGGCCTGGAGAGTGTGGGGGTTTGGTTCATCTGCGCCCTCCCTGGTCTCTCTAGTGCAGCGGAGACACCCCACAGCCCCCTCCCCAAGGGCGGAGTCCTCAGCCTGTGTTTCCCCCAGGTGTCCGAGAATTCACCTGTGAGACCTGTGGCAAGTCCTTCAAAAGGAAGAACCACCTGGAGGTACACCGGCGCACACACACCGGCGAGACACCCCTGCAGTGAGTGACAGGCGTCCCGAGAGGGTACTAGGAGGGAGGAGACCCGGGCCTGGACCAGCACAGAGCAGGTCCCACAGGCGAGCTCCACCCTGGGGTTGCCATACCAAATTCCATCTGCACTCCAGTCCCAGATGGCGCCAGCCCTTTCTGGGACCGGCCCTGCCCTCTCTGACTGTGCCCTGACTCCTGGCAGGTGCGAGATCTGCGGCTACCAGTGCCGGCAGCGTGCTTCGCTCAACTGGCACATGAAGAAGCACACAGCAGAGGTGCAGTACAATTTCACGTGTGAGCGCTGCGGGAAGCGTTTCGAGAAGTTGGACAGCATCAAGTTCCACACTCTCAAAAGCCACCCAGACCACAAACCCGCCTGACCCACCCTACCACTGACCGTCCCTATTTATTTGTCCACTCTGATGCCACTCCTGGGCCTCCTGGGCCCGGACTACCATGGGGGCCACCCCGCAGGCCGGAAGGTGATGCCCCTGCCCCACCCCAGGGCTGGTCCCCCCCCCCCCCCCTGCACTGCTGGAACTGTGTCGAGAGCAGAGCGAGATTAAAGAGTGAGAAAGTAGAAGCCCTCCCCCTAGACCTGGATGATTTGGGGGTGAGGAGGTCTCTTTTCCAACCTGGTCCCTTCCTGAGCAAGGCCTGGGGTGAGGGTGGGAGGTAGGGGAAGTCATACGGGCAGACCAGGGACCTTTCCCTCTGCCTCGGTTGCCTGGGCAACCCTGAACACTCCCTCCTCACAGGGTCAGGGCTGGGGGTTTGGGGACCCAGGGAAGCCACTTGACATCTCCCAGGACTCGATCCTGACTCAGTGCTAATTTCTCATGGGTCACTCATTCCCCACCCTAGAGAGGTCAGGGACCAGTTGGGGAGATGTTCAGTAAACCCTTAAGACATCTATGGCCGAGACAAGCACCATGCAGAAAATAGTATATTCGTTTTTGGGGGTGCTGTTTAGGTCAGTGGTCAGGTGGTATTTGAACATAGATCAGAAGAAAGTTGAGGACTGAGGAAGGCAAGTCCCAGGAACAGCCGATGCCAAAACCCCGAAGTAGAATGGGCTCGGAGTGTTCCTGGAACAGGAAGCCGCGGGGGAAGGGAGTTGGCTGCTCTGGTCCCATTACCTGGAGGAGGATACTGAGGCCACCTCCTCATCCCGTGGACTGCCGGGGAGAGGGGCGGGGGAGTGAAATCAGGCTACACAGCCGCCAGGTGGCGCACAAGCTGCATGGGCCAGTATGGCCGCAGCCACGTGACCCGGGGGACCACAACCGCGAGCAGGAAAAGTGCCCTGGGGGAGCCCCCACCAGCTCCTCACCAGTTCTTGGAGCTGGGCCGTAGCTAAAGCCTCATTTTACACATCTAATCGGGGTCTACTCCAGCCAGGGACAGACGTGTCGGCGCGGAAGAGCGAGTCCCCTCTCCCCCCAGGCTCAGTCCTCTTAGTTGTCTCCGCACAGCGGGAGCCAGCAGTTTCCATGGGAACCGCAGTCGGGTCTGCGGGTCCAGGAGTAGCCCCTTCCAGGCCAAGCCCAGCTTCTGATCCCACTGGAGCCGGGAGGATCATGGGGTGGGGAACAAGCCATCGCTCGGGGTCTCTAGAGTCAACAGCCACATTGCCCTGCCAAATCCTAGAAGGGCCACCCGGGGTCCCGCATCGCCACCGCCCAGGCTGTGCGGGCCACTATGATTGGCCTCCCTCTCCATCAGCGTGGCCTCGCGCTCTGCTGCTCGGGTTCTCATTGGCTCAACCTCGAGGGTGTCCTCCTGCAATTCGTTCTTGCGAGGGCCGTCCCTGATTGGTCAAAATAGGCTCTCCTCGCTGGGTTTGACGACACTCTAGGACAGTCTGGAGGCTAAAAGGGAGTGCTGGGACGAGGATAGGGTGGGGGCTGCCACTCTGGTTTAGCGGGTCGTGGCCGCAAGAGCGCTGGTAGGGGCCATCAGGCCGCTGTCTGTGGTGCTGAAGGCCGTCCGACGTAAACATGCACAAAAGGTGATGTGCCACCTTCTATCGCCTTAGTAGCGTCCAGGTTCCCCCAGCAGAGCGGGAGATGACTCCGAGGGCGAACCAATCGTGAGCTCGGAAAGCCAGGACATTCACCTAGCAGATCAGCCCACCCCAAGTTTATGTTGTCCTGGGGCTGCAGGGCACCAGCAAGGTTTGCCTGAATCCTAAGTCCCAAACCTCGTTCCCCACTTTGCAGCAGTGCCAAGTGCCCCTGCATTGTGGGGTGCCAGTCCACAGCCTTTGAACCCTAGAGACACCTAACCCACAGGGTCCCAGTTCCTTCTGCAGGCAGAGTAGGACCCCCAGCCATCCTCACATTCCTCCCTTGGCATTAGGAGACTACACCTGGTCCCTCCAAATCTGGGGACCCAGGCCTTTGCCTATTGAAGTCTTGGATCCTTGTCCCTTTCCAGTCTTCTTGTGGACAGCACCTCGGGAAGGTCGTACAATAGATACCTCCTCTCCCTCTTCGCTCCTCCAGCTCCAGGTGCTGGACAGAGGAGAGCCTGCCCTGTCTTCCGGTTAGAAAGCCCTTCCTAAAAGGGGTGCTTGGGCAGGAAGTAGGGTTCGCGGAGTCAAAAGAGCCGGAATCTGGCAACACGAGTCCCCAGAAAGCGAGTCCAGGCCAGCGCGCGCTCGCTTCCACCTGCCGCGCCGTCGGGCGCCGAGAGGAGGTGGGGCTTGGTTGCTGTAGCCAATGAGCGACG